CCCCCCCCCCCCCCCCCCCACCCCTTCACATCTGTGGTGTATAAAAACTCTCACAGCTCTCACCACTAACACCTCACACTCTGGAGAGGTTCTTCAGTTCTTCGGCCAGCGATGGACTCCAACTCASTTCTCCTTCTGTGCATCTTGGTCACATGTTCAGGTGAGCCGGTGGTCCCTAACACCGATCTAATCCCTTAAATTAGAAATATTAATCTCCTRAATTTGTATGGTTTGTTTTGGTTTTACAGTCTGGGCGGTGCAGGGGAGAAGCTTCAAGGTCAGCATTGATGATGAGGAGCCACCATCACTGGAAGGATCTGCACAGGAGCAGAAGGTGATGAGACACACGCAGTCTGGTCTTCATCTTTAGATCGCATTTAAAATGCTTGAAACTCACAAACTATACAAACTGTTCTTTTATAGTTTCCAGGGTTGTGCTGGGCCTGCAAGTGGGCTTTAGGTAAGATAAAGAGAGTGATGGGATCAAACACCACAGCAGAGGTAATTCATTTAAATAATGATAATAATTATAATAATGATAATCACAAGTCACACAAGGTTGTTAGACAGAGCAGTAATGTCATGTCTACTCCTGCAGAAAGTGACGAGGCGTTTAAAAGCCGTCTGTGATGAAATTGGACTCTTGAAGTCAAAGTGCCACAAGTTTGTGGATTCCCACCTCGGAGTTCTGGTCGAGGAGCTGACGACCACCGATGACGTGAGAACGATCTGCGTCAACACAGGAGCCTGCAAGTGAGTTYTTTAACATTTAAAACCAATGTTGAATTGACTGAACTGCAACACTTTCCTCGCATTTGATGTAAACATGTCCATACCGTGACTCAGCTGTATCAGCAGCATTCAGACTCTTTACTTTATTTAGAAGCCAAGATCAATAAATTATTTGTTTCACTCTTATTTTCAGGCCAAAGGAGGCATTTGACTTGTTCTTCGCTTCAAACAAAGAATCTCTGCATCATTTAGAGACTGATGAACTGGACTGGCAGCAGCTGGGCAGATAATGTTCCTGTATTTTGTCAGCTTAAAAAAAATAACTTTTGTTATGCAGCTGTGAAAGTCTATCACCAATTTCAAATGTGGAATCGATGAAATTAGTCATTTCTGCCCCCCACCTGTTAACTTTAATTTTTTTTTATTTTCATGTATTTGTGACCCATTAAAACAAACCCTGTTTTTCTATTATTCTCTAAATAAACTTCCCAGAGCAATCAAAGTTTGTTTTTGTCTTTTCTCATACAGACTGAAACTAATTATAGAAAAATGTTATGTCTACTAAAGAATATGTTGTTTGTCTTTGCTTGTAAGTCAGAATATTTCATTAACAATTGGACAATTTTTAATAAAGACCCCATCACACACTGTTTTTAGACAACCTATGAGCTTTGTTTTGTCTAAATTACTAAATTATATATTTGATCAATTTGTTAGCATTACAGTACATGCCTAAAAGAGCCTTCCAGTTGATATTTTTTTAGTTCATCTTTAACATAGATGTCTTTAAAAATTTCACAAGTTGGCACAAGTTGTCTAATACGTCAGTGTGACAGGGCCATAAGACTCAAAGTACAACCCCATCCAAGATGGCRGCCACAGCTAAACAARCATARAAACAAAACAACTAAATAGCTACAACTCATTAAATTGGCATTTGAGTTGAGAGAACCATTTTCATCCCAGACTGAGCTCTGATTGTTTTTTTTTTACTTCACTATTTACTATTGGTCGTGGTGYGCACAGTTCCCCTAAAGCACTAAAGRACTAATAGGGGAACTAATTTCCTGATTAATGCTTTTGCTAATTTTTAAATTTGTTAGTGGATTAGCACTTGCTGAATTTATAGGCTAAATTTAGAAGCACTTAGGTCTATAAATGTTAACATTAACAACACTAATTTTAACAGCTGAAGGTGAAAGTTGTCACACATTTTGTTTATGTGTCACTTATCCATCAGGTGACAATATATGAACCCAACGAACAGCTGCGCACCGCAGCGCAGCGGAGCAACATGTGACTCATGTTGTCTGTTGAATATTGTTCATGGGTTGACTCTGTGATTTTAGTGCTTTAGAATTAGCTTTTGCTAAAATTTTCAGTGCATTAGTGCTTTAGAATTAGGGGGACCTAAATGTTTTGAGTTAGTGTTTTAGGGCTAGTGGAACTAATTTTTASGTTAGTGCTGACCACCGACTATTGGAATCAACTGTTAGCAAAATATGAAGCCCTGGAGAAATTTCAGTGTAACGGTCAGAAAGTAATCATTGCACGTGTCTACAAATGATTACCTTTTGGAGTCAATTCAAGATGGCCGTCACACCCAGCCTAGTTTGGGAGACACAAAAATGACTGGAACTCAGTCAGTTTTACAGACGTTGAACTAAAATTTGGTGTAGTAACGGCCGAGCATTATCCTCATCACATACTGAGCACCACTCAGTATCACATACGATTGTGGATAATATCATTTATTGGTACAGACCTTCCCAACATGCAGATTATAGTAAAAGTATACACGGATTGAACATAAAACAAAAATAAACAGTCCTTTAATCAAAGACGAAGGTCAGAAACTCCATTCTGACTATTAAATTGTTTTAATTAAAATCACAGTTATACAGTGGGATATTAAAACAGACATGATAAAAATCTACGAGTTATTTACAGAGGATGCTCTTTATTGAGCTTTCTGTCACTTAAATCCAACATCACCTTTAATACAAAACGTGGCACCAAACTGTGTGTTGGTGAGGGTAAAACAATGGCCGCTTCATCGTCATGACGGGGTGGCAGCGGAGAGCAGGAACTTAGCGTTTCGGTCTAGGAAGTGTGCGTCTGAGTGACCCGTGTGCCAGCTCTGCTTCAAGGCGTCTCGGTCCAGTTTGTTCAGACTCTGAGAGCAAAGACGGAGGTCCTTGACCAGCCCTGACAGACCATCCAGCGCCCCATGGTCCCACGGGCCGGACACCTGACACCCTGATGATGAAACAAACGTTTAGGGTTTTTAATGGGAGATTTCTGCTGATCTTTTTATAACTAAACCTGTTTGGTGTCTAAAACTCATCATTTCAACATTTACCTAAAGTTTACACCACAGCTGTAACTACACCTTCTTGAGTCTTTGAGCAAAACCAGAATTTTGCAGCATTTTCATGTCAGATTGTACAGATGATGAAAAATAAATTTAGTTTTGCACCAAAGCTAATAATAATTTCTCTACTTTAACTGAAATAAAACACCTAATAACTTTAGATCTTGAAACGGAGTAAATGAAATGAAGAAAACAATAAAAATAACAGCAACAAAACATAAAACCCTTTTATTTTTCAGCTTCCTGAATTTGTTGGAAGACAGTTAAACTATACTTATTGTTTTTAAAGTTTTTTTACTATAATCTTCAATTTAAGTAATTAAAAAGACAAATGAAACTAATGAAATAGTTGAATCCAGCTCCTTTTCCTTTTTTTTATTACAAATAAAACAATTTGAGGATTTTTTTCCCACCAGAATTTATAATGAGGCAAACTGCACGAGTAGCTTTTTTTTAAGAATAGCAAAAACGATTTGTTTTAATTTTAGTATCGACTCTGAATGCCTTCGCGTACAGTCAGAAAATCTACATAAACAAAGAACAAAAAGGTAACAAAACATATTAGCATGAATTGAAAAGTGAATATTTGTTTCGACCAGTTGGTTCTTGTGCTTGTTTTGTTTTGTCATTATTTGATGAGCATGTGATTACTGAACAACACGCACCCTGAAGGTTTAAAAGCGTCAGTGATCGGGAAGCTTCTCTCGTGGACGTCAGGATGCTTTGGAGTCCGGCCGAGGTCACAGACGGGTTTCCTGACAGGTTCAGACTCACCAGAGTCAAACATAAAGGCAGGCACCTGAACAAAAAGGTAAAAACAGCTGCAGAGACAAACGGAATAAAGGCAGGTTCTCCAACAATTGACTAAAAGAAAATGCAAACCTGGACAAGACAGTGACGCTGCTGTCCGTCAGTCCGTTTGATGCCAGACTCAGGTGGGTCAGAGAACACTCCTCCTATAAAATTGAAAAAACAAAACAAAACACAGACACATATATTATATTTATATATATGGACATTAATGATAAACACTGCGTGTGCATGTCTGTGTGGGCGTGTATTTCCTACCATATGAGGTCCATTTTTAGACTACACACCTACTTGTGGGGATCGACTGGTCCTTATGGGGACCTAAGCCTAGTCCCCATTTGGGGGAATTGAGTTTGGGTTAGGTTTAGGGTCAGGTAGGTACCTGTGAGGTTAGTATTAGAGTAGGGGGTCAGGGTTAGGCTGTAGAAATTAATGGAAGTCAATGGAATGTCCCCATATAGATAGCTGGACCCAGCTTTGTGCATGTACTTGTTTCTACTACAGAGTGAGGACCACTTGCAAAATAGTTACTATCAAAGTGAGGTTTTTGTTGTAAAGTGAGGACCTTGTCCCACTCAGTTTGTTTGCAGCTCTACTTGTTAGGTTTATAGGTGTGATGTGAAATAAGTTTTGGTTCAGGTTAGGGTCAGGAATAAACTAGTAATGGTTAGAGTTAGGGAAAATGTCTGGTTTAGACATAAATGCAGTTACAAAAATGAATGGAAGTCAATACAAAGTCCTCAGTTTGAGTACAGTAATGTGTGTGTGTGTGTGGCCTTGGTTTTCCAACATCGTAGGGACAATTTTCCTGAAAAAGCAGCCTCGTGGGGACCAATGCCCAGTCCACACGGGTCCGAATGCAAATTACGGGTGGGGGGTCGGGTTTAGGACCAATGGYTGGTTAGTTTTAGGGTCAGGTAGGTACCTGTGAGGTTAATTTTAGGGCAAACAGTCAGGGTTAGGATATAAAATTACCAAAAAATGAATGGAAGTKAATGCACGGTCCTCACGGGGATATACAAACCAGACCTGTGTGTGTATGTGTGTGTACCTGTGACAAGATCTTGGTGAGGTGCTCCAGCGCCAGGTGATCAGTAGGACCTCTCCAGACAGCGGAAAGGTCCAGGTGTGTGAGACAGTGGAGGGGCAGAGTTTTCAGAACCAGCTCAAAACCAGTAGAGCCCAGTGCATTGTGGGATAGAGACACTGATTTCAGGTGGCCCAGTCCTGAGAGAGAGCACGCAAGGCTTAAAACTGTAACCCCCACTCTGTCTGAATGTTAAAACTCATCTTAAAAATGAAACGCTTCATCACGTGGGACAGGCTTGAAGATGCTGCAACGCTTTCTTAAATCAGACACTAATTTAAATTAAAAATATGAGTCGTGTCACCTGTCAGAGCGCTGGCGAGCAGCAGGCGATGCTGCTGAAGGAAACGAGCGGTGAGACCACAAGCCTGCAGAGACAGCTTGGACAGCAGAGGACAGCAGGACAGAAGACAGGACAACGACTCGGACACGGAGTCCCCCAGAGGGTTCACGCTGAGGTCGAGTTCCTCCAGATGCTACGAGGTGGAAACAACCACAAATTCATGAAAACAATAAAACATCTGAGGCTAGAAGAAAAGAGTTAAAAAGTAGCTGAAAAGCTTTGCACAAAGAAGCTAAAAGTAGCAGAAACAATCAAAAAGGAAAATATGTAAGTCCTCTGGACGGGTTCTTCTTTAATGAGACGTTCCGTCCAGAGGACGTACGGTACATATTTTTCTTTTTTCTACCTGGATTACTGAGATGCATCAGAACATAGCAGAAACAAGTTACAAATAGCAAAAATAAATAAAAAAAGGAGACAGGAGTGTAAAATTACACATATTGACAAAATAAATAAATAAAAAAAATAAGCAGTACAAAAAGTTGCAATTAGATGTAAACAGTGAAAACAGCTGAAATTAGAAGAAAATAGTTTTAGTTAGGGCTGCCACAAATTATTATTTTAATAATCGATTAATCACCGATCACTTATTTGATTAGTCGACTAATCAAATCACACTTTAATTGAATATAAAACGTAGAGCTTATCATGTCAGAATGCAGCTGCTATTATATAACCATCATTAGATTTTAGCTATATGCTAACTAAAAATAATTGCTGTGGAAGACAAGATCTGCTCTGCAGATATTGCACAGGTTTCTCTTTCATTTTCTTAAAATGATCCCACACTTTTGAGCTCCGTTGCTGGGTAGCCATGATTAGGGCTGTGTATTGGCAAGAATTTGGTGATACGATACATATCATAACAGAGGGGTCACGATACGATATATCCCGATATATTGCGATACTGTAAGCAAGGCAATATATTGTGATATATTGCGATTTTTTTTGTCCAAAAATTCTATGAAATAAAAACCTCTTACTGAAAAAAAAAAGAAAAGCTAATGTTTACTTACAATGCTAATGCTACCCTTACTCTCTGGTGCTCAAGAGGTAGAGGAGCCAAATGGCTGGCTCACTGCTGCCAACTAGTGGACAGAGGCTAAACTACAACATAAAAATGAACGGTTGGCAAGAAAGTTGACATTTTAAACCTTAATTAAAAATCGATACAGGGCTTTAGAATATCGATACAGTATCGGGAAATGAAATATCGTGATATTTCAGTGTATCAATATTTTCTTACACCCCTAGCCATGCTACTAGAGCCTGTCTGTATAATGTCTTGTGACGTCCACGGCCTACTCCAGTTACCACTTCTGTGCATGTGTGTCAAGGACAGAAAGGCAGATGTGGCAGTGGAAGGTGTCAAAGCAGTTTGGAGAGAAAAACAAAGTAAAGAACAACAACAAAAAAAGAAAACGATTAATCGATTATTAAATTAGTCATCTATTATTTTAATAATCGATTAGTCATCGATTAATCGATTAATCATGGCAGCCCTAGTTTTAGTATCTGAAAATTTTAAATTAGAACAAAAAAGCAGAAATACCAAGTTTGCTAAATTAAACGGGAAGCAGCTGAAATTCTCAAAAAGGGGAATTTAGCTTAAATAAGCTAAAAACGTAGCCAAAACAGCAGAAAGAGCTAAAATTAGCAAAATGCAGCTAAAGAAAACATTAAAAAGCTACAATTAGCAGAAAGTTATTGTGGGCACACAAAAAGTAGAAATCAGCAGAAGAATAGCAGAAAGATAGCTGAAATATGAGAAAAGAGCAAAAATTAGAAGAGAGCTGAAGCAAGCTGAAATTGGCATTAAGTTTAAAAAGTAGAACAAAAAGGTGAAAACTTCAAGATTTATAAACATCTTGAAGGGTTTTAAGGATGTTAAAGACAGCCCCATTCATTTGCAACAAAAAGGCAGAAAAAGCTAAACTGCTGAAAAAAGTATGAAGTCTGAAAATACCAAAAGTCACAYCTGAAAGTTCCTGAAAGAGTTGAATGTTTTGATATWTGAATTGTTGAAATCACACAATWCTTGTYGAATAAGATTAGTGCTGAAAAGRGTACAGAAGAAAAATGGATGAGCTGATCAGCGTGCTAACCAGCTGAAGCTAACAAGAAGCCAGTGGAATGAGCAGAAAACAGTAATGAGTGCAGCTGTAGAGCTGTGAAGCAGCAAACTCATTCAGATCAAACAGGAAAGTGTTCAGGTTTGMTTGGCGACACATTAACAGAACGCGTAGRTGTGAACCACTCACACAAACAAAAATAAACGTGTGACAGAAAAGTGGCAACAGTTGAAGCTGTGAGGTTTCACCTCCAAAACGTAAATGAAATGTTTTTTTTAATGTAACTTCATACATTCTGACGTGACACAGAGTTTTGCACCAGAGTTTCACACTTTCATTAATTAATTAACTGACATTAAATTAGTCTTGCATGTTTTTCTCTAGCGGTGATGCATTTTAAATTAACATGATCAGATTCTGTTTGCGTGTGTCGTCAGGCACGAGAAAATGAAACCAACTAATTATAATACACCTCAAGTTTTGAGTTTACATTTGCTGCAAATGTGTGTAACTCTTCTTATTACACATAATGTGACATTTTTAGCATTTAATAATATAAACAACTAAACATTTTCTGATAAAGTGTATATTTTGTGAACATTCTGTACCTGACTGGGATGAAATTTAATATCAAAAGCAAAAAAAAAAGTGATTCACCGGGAAGGCGGGACTACTCCGTCCCTTCAGAGCGTTCACAGCCGTCTCCAGACCGTCCCCCGTGATGGAATTGGCCGACACGTCCAGCAGCCGAAGTCGAGGCATGGTGATGGTCATGGCCACCAGTTCGGGGAAAAGGTCGTCTGAGAGCCGGTTGCCGGAGACGCGCAGCTCGGTGAGGCTGGGCTGCAGCTTGAGGGCGCGCAGGAGCGGGCTGAGGGAGGAGGGGGCTAAACTAAGGCCGCAAACCGACAGGGAGGAGCTCCCGTCCTGCAACTCGCACAGRCGGGTGACGCGTTTGTTCTCCTCTGCACACAGATGGAGGCACGTCTCGTCATGACGGAAGGGATGTTTAAAAAAAAAAAAAAGCCATTTTGTATCTGGTGCTCACCCACGGCCAGACTCTGACATGCCTTCTTGTAGCGCTCAGGGAGAGGGGGGAGATCCCAGGAGCAAACTTCGGCGAGAACCTGGAGCACAGAAAAAACCAAGAACTGATACGCCGTAAAAGAAAAACAGGAAAAAAAAAAAAGAAAGAGCAGCAGGGATAAGCTTTAGGTCTTTCAGAGTGATGGTCGATCCTCACCTCTTCATTGGTGTGCAGCACAGACAGCAGCAGGTCCTGCGGAGACAGCAGAGCTCCCTCCTTCTGCAGCGACAGACGAGGCAGGAGGCCACACTTCTGGTAGTAACGCTGWGCTGCCTGCTCACACAGCCACAGCACGGTGCAGGAGTCCGCCTCGCTGAAACACAAGGAGGAGGGACGACACCGACAGCTCCGACCTGTTAATCCACCTGCACGGCTCAGCCAGCCTCAAAGTTCTCCTGAGAAGCTTTCCAACGGCCAGATGAGAATTTTTCAACTAATTATTCACCAACCTTTGTGGAACCGGGATGAGGAACACATCTTCCTGCACTCTGACCCTCATCCTTATCGGCGGAGGAAGAGACGTGGGCATGGGAGCCACCGGCGCCTGAGATGAAGGCTAAAAAAATGTTGCTTTTTACAAATGACTGCAGTGACTCAAATGAGTTATTTAATATTATTAATTAAAGAAAAAATATTTCCACAAGTTCACAAAAGGTAAGCTGCACGGTGCTAGTGTTTCATGACACGCAAAAAAAATAACAGGCTTATTATAGTTAATTAAAACTAATTAAATAAAAAAAACTGAAGTTGAAAAAACACTTTAGTTAACTAAAATAAATAAAAACCATAATGAAATGAAAAAATGATAGCTAACTAGAACTGTATAATCTTTTTACAAAACTAACAATAATGCAATAATAACTAGGGCTGTGTATTGGCAAGAATTTGGCGATACGATACATATCATGACAGACGGGTCACGATACGATATACACGATATATTGCGATACTGTAAGTAAGGTGATATATTGCGATTTATTTTGGTCCAAAAATTCTATTAAATAAAAACCTCTTACTGGAAAACAAAAAGAAAAACCAAAATTCATTGTCTCAGAAAATTCTATTATATAGACATGCGCTAGCCTTCTGTAACATGAAGACTGACTAAAGTTGGAAAAAAGAGTGCACGAGACACTTAATTTCATTTAAAATAAAGKCATTCTGACAAATAAGTAACTGTTCGTAACCTTACCTCAGCTTAGAAGGCAGAGGGTGTCGGTCTTTTCTGCTCAGATTCAGCTATCGGAGCATGAAGCTAATGTTTACTCACAATGCTAKTYCTACCCTTACTCTCTYGWGCTCAAGAGGTAGAGGAGCCAAYTGMCTGGCTCACTGCTGCCAACTAGTGGTCAGAGGCTGAACTACAACATAAAAATGAACGGCTGGCAGGAAAGTTGACATTTTAAACCTTAATTAAATATCGATACAGGACTTTAGAATATCGATACAGTATCGGAAAACGAAATGTCGCAATATTTCAGTGTATCGATATTTTCTTACACCCCTAATAATAACTAATAAAAACTAGAGATTTGACTGTAAAAACTAATTAAGATTAACTGAATTAAAAGAAAAACATCACTACGAAATAAAACTGAACTATAATGAAAAATCCAAAACTATTATAGCCTTGCTTCTTACCTGAAAGTGCACGTGTGGAGGCGTGTCCGGTCTCGTGTCGTCATCGTCTGCGACGGTGGGACTGCGCAACCTGCTGACCTCTCGCCTGCCTAACCTCACCGTACCTGGCGTCTGAGTTATTTTCACCTGGTGAGGCCTCAGCGAGCCGTTCTTCCTCTGAGAGAACCCCCCTGAGGACGAGCTCCCTGCAGGGCCTGGGAGGGGAAACAAAACAACAAAATAAAAGACAAAGTAAAATAAAAGAATGAACCAATAAAAGATTTTTAAAAAATCAAAGCATGCATCATTACCTCTGCGGGACGTGTCTGAGTTGAACTGCCTGGTTTGACTTTTTGCAGCCTCCTCCCTTCGGGATTCATTATTTTCCACTCGAATCTTCTTTTTCTTTGGCTGCATTTCCCCCAAATCATCGTCCAGCCAGTCGTCAGCCAGATACTCGTCCTCCGGAACCAGAGCCGGTTTACTGCTGGATGGAACAGCGGGGGTGCTGGAGAGCTGAGGCTGCGAGACGCCCTGGAGACGGGTCTTGGCGCTGCCTAAGCCACGGATGGCGCTGTGGTACTCTTCTCGTTCGAACACAGAAGACGTGGGGGTCTCCCTGGGGCCCTCTCGGCTCGAGCCGGGGGTCGCAGCGGGCTCCTTGTTTTGACTCGGGGCTGCTGGGAAAGCTGGTCTGGGCCGGACAGGACGGAGAGGGCTGACCGGACCGTCAGAGTCACTGTCCTCTGAGCTGCTGCTGTTAGTCTGAAGCACACAGATTTTAATCTGCTGTAATAATCCTTACAGCTCATTTGGGTGAATGTGTTTCACACAGGAAACAGTCTGAAACATTACCCCGTACAGAACGGCAGCTTCTGATCCTCTGGCTCTGCGCCTCTGCGAGGAGGCGTTTGTCTCGCGAAGTTTAGGGCTGGTGGGTCTCCCCTGTGAGCCCCCACAGCGTCCGGGCCACGCTTGACTGGAGGAACAGCCCCCTCCGGTGGACGACAGCATCTCAGAGTTCTCCGCGTCAAACAGCTGGCTGTCCTGCAGGGCATCGAAAGGCTCGGCTGCAGCCGGAGCAGCAGGAACTGCCACAGGCGAGGGAGAAGAAAAACAAGGTTTCCAAATGGCACGACAAAAACAAAAAGACAAYATGAAAAGCAAGGCGAACGTGACGTAATAACCTCACCTCCTCCTGCCAGAGCCTTCCTCAGCAGTTCCTCTGTGAGGACACACTCCTGTCTGGTGTCCTCGTCCAGCTCTCTGCGATACGTCCTCTGCCACTGACGCAGCGTGTCCATGGGAGTATCACCCTGACAGAGGAGGGAGAAGATCGGTCGGTGAAAAATCCACATGAATATCAGCTTGTGTTGAGAAATGACAGACTGCTACCAGTTTCTCCCCCCTGGTATGTGTTTTAAATCACTGTTGGCTTCTATCACACAAAGTTTGAGCTCAACATCTCGAAAATTTGGGTAAAGATATAGAACGGATGTTGGAGATGATGCAGACAGAATTTGTGAAAATATAAACTTGGTTTCAACTTAATAAATTATTATTAAATCTGAATAAAACTATATGATATTTAATAATAGAAAAAAACTATCGATGGTGTTGGGATTTGTAGAGTCAGTTAGGTGAAGGTTTTGGGTGTCTGATGAAAAGCTGACATGGAAATTTCACATAAATTATTTAAGAACAAAAATAGCTAAATCTATTACAGTACTGTACAAAGTAAGGGAGTTATTCAGTGATAAATATCTCTATATGTTGTATAATTCAATAATTGTTCCACACTTGATCCATTGTATTGAAGTCTGGGGAAAAGAATATAAAACAATTACAAATCCTTTTTTTTTTTTGTTTTACAGAAAAGAGCTATAAGAACTATCACCAGAAAACACTACAGTCACACATCAAATACATTATTTTATCAATTGAAATTATTAAAATTTGATTATAGTATTTTACAGGTTATGTATAAGGCTCACAAAAACATGTTTCCTTTAAAACATCCTGTTATATTTCATTGAGAGAGAAAGTTATTACAATCTCAAGGGGATAGAGATGTTTGTGAAACCTAAATTAAGAACCAGTTTGAAGGAACAGTGTGCTTCAATCCAAGGAATAAGATTATGGAATAAGAGCGATGTTAAAAAAAGTCAGATTAATGTTTATGTTAAAGAGAATGATAAAAGTTGGTTTGTTAAATAAATTTGAAATAGTATATATATAACGTGTATCTAAAAGAATTGTTGATCGACAAGGATTTGATGTCTTTCTTTAGTTTTGTTTTTTGTAAATTACTATTGTTTGAATTATTCTTAGGGAGAAGAAGAGGCAGATATTATGACATTTTTCTTCTTTCTGCTGCCTTTTATTTTATTTGTGATTTGTATTTTTCTTCTATTGTATATGGATTTTAACTGAATTGATCGAAAATGAAATTAACCAATAATGATAATATTAATGATGATAAATAGACTGATTTTTTTTTGTCTAATACCAGTCGGCAGTGGCGGCCATCTTGATTTGTTTGAGTCCAAATGTTAATCAGTTGTAGATGAAAGTCTAATGACTACTTTCTAAAAGTTTCATTAAAATGCATTCAGTGATTCTGAAGACATTTTGCTAACAAATAAGGTTTACTGCAACAATTAATTCACAGATTTAAACAAAGTCCTTGTGCAATCTGTTAGCACTCTCAGCATGTATTGGGAATCAGTGTCAGCTACTACCACACCCAATTTTACCTTAATATCTGCACAACTGTTAGACTGATAACCATTTCTAGGGCGGTTAAGTTTGATTAGCTGTGGCGGCCGTCTTCAGTCAAGTTAACTCTGAAAGTTAATCAGCTGTAGACGTACATCCAGTGACTATTCTATGAGAGTTTTATTACAATACTTTCAGTGGCTACAGAGATATTTTGCTAACAGACACATGAAAACARAGAAACACAGGTAAAAAATTATATTAATAACATAAGTTGATTTTACATTTATTACAGCTTCAATATTCACCAGTAATTATGGCCTTTTTGTTTCTGTTCAATTAAATGAAAAATCTGCTACAGTGAAAATAAAACGTAAAATAATAAAAAGAATATAGCCCAGAGATAAATGTGAATTCATCAGGTGCGTTTGCTGTTTTATAAAAATACCAAAATAAAACTTGTTTGAGTGAACCAAAACACACTGAAGTTTTTAGCTTCAGTTCCGTCCCCAGCTCAGTGAATCACTTAAGATTAAGCTATAAAAATGTAACCTTGGCTACAGGAAAATAATAAAGTATTTACAGCGTAACACAGCGACAATGCCCAAAGGTTTCCATGGAGACTTTTCAGTTTCTTTTATTCCTGCTAGGTCTAACAGCTATTATTATCTCACACAAGCAGCGCAGATCATTTTCAAGAAGTGGCAGAATATGTACAAAAAAACTTTTCATAATTACAAAGTCAACGGAAAGACAACATGAAGCCTTTAAAAAGTCCCTCCTGCCCACCACATCAGCCTTATAATTTGGTTTTCTTCTGACTTGTTCTCATTTTCCTCCTTTCAAGCAACGGCTGAAAACGTCTAATCAGTATCATTATATCTTTGGGGGGAACAAAGACTCAAAATAACTGGAGGATTAAACTGTCGCACAATAAATAATCACAAAGTGGCTGAAAGAGCAGAAAGAAAGTTTGTCTACAAACAATAAAACTAATCGTTTATAGAAGTGGAACGTGATCGTTTTCTTTAAACACAAACATAAACTTTGCAAAACTGCAGTCCAGAAAACTGCCACATAAAAAAAAAAAACAGATCTGAGTTCGACTAAAATGCTGCACTGAGATTTTAGGAGCAAAATCTGTTGATGTTTTATGAAAACACTGAAAATGCTTATTTTCCTATAGTTGTTTGAAATAGTTTTATTTTATTTAAAATATTCAAAAATTCATGAAGCTTTTTAAGTTGGGATCCGCTAAACATCTGAGGGACTTTTGCTGTAAAAAAAAATAAAAAAACCTAATATGAGAGAATGTCAGTGAATTCACAGCTGGAAATAAATTTAAAAAATGATGTAGGCAGAAAATGTTAAATTATTCTATAAAGAGATCATGAATGGCAAAGACAGAAATTCCTGGAATTACRGAATGTTATTTTTCTTTTTAAACTTTGAAACATTTTCATATTTTGTGTATAGCTTGTGTTTTGTGACATGTGTCTTTTTAACTACACATCTAAAGGGTTATCCTTGAGCTTGGTAATGTTTTAAAGATGGCTTGTTTGTTTGTAAAACGACAATAAAAAAAGGTKGAGAGAATTTAGATTACAGCGGGTAAAATAAGTATTGAACACGTCAACATTTTTCTCAGTAAATATATTACTAGAGGTGCTAGTGACATGAAATTTTCACCAGATGTTGGTAACAACCCAAGTGATCCATACATACAAAGAAATCAACCATAAATGACCAGAAATGAAGTTAT